TAGTAACAAGTGCCACGCTACTAGGAGCAAGGACGCTACTAGGGGCTCCTGGCCTTACTAGGAACAAGAAGCTTTCTGGGGGGGGTAGGCCGCGAGTAGAGGTAGGTAGTAGCTAGCTAGCTAGGTAGAGGAAAGGGTAGCTAGTAGGGAGAGGTAGCTAGTAGCTACTGGACGCAGGATAGCTCACGCACTAATGATTTGGCTCCTAGACTTTTAGGGAAACTTAAGGTTGGAGACCATTGCTACTAAGTTCTTTCTTTAGTATACTATATTGGGAGCTAGTAGTAACAGGTGCCACGCTAGTAGTAACAAGTGCCTTACTAGTAGTAACAAGAAGCTACTAGTAACAAGTGCATCGCTTCTAGTAGTCTTTCTGACGGATCAACGTATGGTTTCCGGTTTGTCGCCTTGGGACAGCTTCTCTCACATCCATTCGTTGCATTGCCATCTGCTTCGAAAAAGTTTGCCTCACGCCCGATGCGATGTTTTTAGGATAAGAACCTCCGTAAAATCAAAGGAAACAAAAGGACATAAAGCAGAACCATACAAAGAAAAAGAACATTATAAACGGATATGTAAAAAAAAAGATAACAACAATAATAATGAACACTCTCTCTCTCTGTTATTTCTTTCGCACAAGAGACGAACCATCGGTCCATGGATCGACGAGTCGGAAAACATCGGCCGACCAAGCGGCTCGAATTGTGTGAATCCTTGCCTGGCTCATAGGAGCCCCGTTCGTAGCGTCGCTACTAGTAACAAGTGCATCGCTAGTAGTAACAAGAAGCTACTAGGAGCAAAGAAAGCTACTAGGAACAAGTGCATCGCTTCTAGTAACAAGTGCCTTACTAGTAGTAACAAGAAGCTATTAGAATTAAAATTCGCAGCGTCCGATCGCAGTAGCGATGCCAGGAGCCCCTAGTAGCCTTCTTGTTCCTTAGTAATTTACCTTCATGATGCCTATGTTGCTGCGCGGATATTCGGTTTCACATAGATAGACATCTTCGACGGTAGTTTTTCACAAACATCTGTATCTTACAATAGGATACCGACCCTACTCCCGGATACCCGTCACAATGACGAAGGGTCCTGGGAAGCGCCCCAGACCGTGCGCGAGTTGTGTGAGTAGTAAGGCCAGGAGCCCCTAGTAGTGTCTTTGCTCCTTGCATATATAGCTATAGGCTATAGCTTGCATCTTAAAAGTAGAACCCCCATTTCTTGCATCATTTTGTCACGGCCTGCCTACTGAGAACCTGCTCCCTGCGGAAGCTCCTGAAAAGCCGGAACCTGCTCCAGGCCCTGGAGCTAGAAGAATCCCCAGCTACACGCATGAGCCCGCCTTTTAGGCAATGGCAGCATGCAAAACGTCACCAACAAGTGTTGTCTTATGCATGTCTTTGCAAGACATGTGAGCCCTTACAATGCATGCGAGCATCACAACACGGCAGTATGTCGGCATAGCGCATGTGCCCACATATGTGCAAGCATGCATGTCGGCGTGATGTCCTGATAGCATGTGAACATGTCTGCCCGTTTCCATGACAGCATCATGACAGCACTATATACAACACAACAACATGACACCATGTCAGCAAATGGCATGAAAACACCTCAGCATGTCAGCATGACAACATGCAAGCTGCCAGCATGATGACATGTCAGTCTTGCGCCATGACACCTAATGTCAGCAAAACAGCATATCTGCACCAAAAGATGTTGCGAAATGTGCTTCGAAACCTGCTCTACCGGAACCTACTCTACCGGAACCTGCTCCAGAACCTATATTGAAACCTGCTTCAGAACGTGCTCCGGGACCTGCTCCGATCTGCGAAGTCTTCACGATCTGGCTGAAGACCGGAAAAAAGAAGTTAAGGTGAACCGTACGGGTGGAGGCCATCGCTACTAAGGGTGGAGGCCATCACTATTCCAGTATCTTTCATTGTACCTTGCGGAAGAAAACGTGAAGGCTGTAGGCTTTGTTGGGCGCAGCACCAAAAAGAAGCGCTGCCAGCTGCGCCTCGCAGGTATAGACTTCACAAGCCTGTGGTGTTTGGCACTTGCTGCAGCGACCATTGGCCACCTTGGGGCATCCAGCCTGGAGTGAGACCGAGTGATACTCAAGGAAAGGCAGGAAAGGCCTTCAGTTTCAATAAGTTGTAGAGGTGTTCTGAGTTCTGGTCATTCTTGTCCCTAGTAGGCTGGAGGCCATTTCTATTAGGTCATTCTTGTCCCTCTGCGATCTTGACAAAGACCAGGCCTCACAGCCATTGGAAGCGTCCATGTCCTGATCAAAATGATTCCTGCAGCAATCGGGCGAGAAGGGCCGTAGCTGTAAAATACTACCCAAAGGGAGGAGACCCTTTGATATAGAAAGAAAAAAGGAAGAATGGTCTAAAGATAGGGACGAATGGTATAGAGGCCATCGCTATTAGGTCGGAGGCCATCGCTACTAGGAACAAGAAGCTACTAGAAACAAGAATGGTAGCGTCCTTGCTACTAGTAGCTTCTTGTTACTAGTAGCGATGGCCTCCAACCTACTGTAATCGCGATGGCCTCCAATCTAATAGCGTCATTGCTACTGCTAAAAAGTGTCAGAAAGGTCTACAGTCGATTCAGCAAAGGGTCTCTTCACATCTCACAGACGTGCAAGCGTCTGCAGTACAAGCGGTGCAAATACCGTGAGGCACCCAGGGACATTGCATCTCACAGCCATTCGCCATGCTCTGGTCCTGCAAGAAAATGTTTGGAAGAGAGCCAATTAGCAAACAACAAACAAAAGTAACAGGAAAAATGCAAAAAGAAACGAACGAGAACTGCTGAGCGAGGCAGACGCCGAGCGGGTCTTGTTTCATGTGTCCTTGTCAAACCAATTCTTTTCACATGTAAACCTCACAGATGTTCAGGGGAAAAAACACACCGACAAAAACAAAAGCACCAACTACTTCAGCGTTCTTATTCCGAAAGCATGACTACACATGTGGTCTTCCAAACTGCAAAAAACAAGTTCTGTGCTTTGGGGATTTTCAGGTGGCGCGGGAAAAGAACGAGCTGGTGCCCCTGGGAATGTGTTCACGTCTGCTCATCCGTTATTCGTTTTGAGAGATGTTCGGAAAAACTTGGAAAAAAACAATATCAAAGCAAGGCCACCTTTTGCAGGTAGGTTGGAGGCCATCACTATTCAAAAGAAGATGGTTCTTTGACCTCGACTTGTGCCACTTGCACTCAGGCTGCAACTCAAAGCAAGTCGAGACATCACACCTGGCAGGGTCGAGACATCACGCGGCAGGCGTCAGAAGCATTGCTCCCAGTAGCGTCCTCTTGTTACTAGTAGTAAGGCCCTTTGCCCCTAGTAGCGTCCTTGCTCCTAGCGATGCCAGGAGACCCTAGTAGCTTCTTGTTCCTAGTAGCATCGGTCTCCCTGCAAAGCATGAAGCATGTCCCTTTTTTGCATGTTTCCCCTTAGAAAGATGCTGCCTTTGTTTCATTTCCTGTTGCAGAGTCCAGACTTGCCAAAAAGGAGAACCAATTATTGTAATCATGTTCAGCTTTGGTCCCTTAGGGTGGAGGCCATCGCTAGTAGGTTGGAGGCCATTGCTATTCATCCACTGTGTATCACTTTCCCTTTCTCTCTAGTCTCATACCCCACCTTTTGCAAGTTGCATGCGGCAGCAAGGGACATTGAAGCTCACAGCCGTTGCTGACTTTCCCATCGGCATCAACATAACCTCCGCAACACTTGCAGTTCAAGCTTGCTCTCGTCACACTTTGGCCCAAGGTGATGTTATCAATCAATATGGTATTGGTTCTTGTTACCGTCGTCATTAAGGCCAGGAGCCCCTAGTAGCTTCTTGTTAGCGATGCCAGGAGTCTGTAGTAGCGTCCTTGCTCCCAGGGAATTGGAGACCTATGGGCCTATGGGACCATTTTACAATGTTCCTGAAGGATCTTTTGGCCTCGCTGATGCCACAGCCCTGCGCAGCCCTCCACAGCCCTGCCTGCTTCACACTCGATTGCATGGCACAAGCCAGGCTCGCGGCACCTATGCCAGGAATGATCTGCATTTCTTCGAGAATTCTACAATGGGAGTAGGTTGGAGGTAGGTTGGAGGCCATCGCTAGCGATATCCATTGAAGTGGAAAGGGGCATTGAATATGGACAAACAAAATAGATAACATATTGAGGATATCCCACCCCTGCTTATTGCAACTGGGCCTGAAAGGCCCTGAAGTTTTTTGGCTTTGACAGCAACACTCACTCCTACCGAACAACAACAAGAAATAAGACATCCTTTGATAGCAAGAACAATCATATAATCATATTATAATTATGTCATACAACAAGAATAACACATCCCCCCTTTGACACATCCCCTTCCAAATTGGCCGTTTTGGGCCCAGGCACTTGGTGCACTTGGCTCTTGGCAGGTCCGGGCAGCTTTCTTCGCAGCCGTTCGCCGCATTGCCATCCGCGTCGAAGGCGGAGTTCTCGCATTCCAAGGCTGTGCACAAGGTGGGACTACTGCAGCTGGTGCCTCGCAAAAAACGATGTTAGGAGCTTTCAATCTTGTTACGTTCGTAGCTAGCAACAAGTGCATCGCTACTAGTAACAGGTGCATCGCTAGTAGTAACAATGTTTGCTATTAGAATTAAAATTAGTAGCGCCTTTGTTCCTATTAGTAATGCCAGGAGCTACTAGGAGCGTCCTTGCCTCCTAGTAGCGATGCCCTTTGTTACACGTTTCCAAGCTGTTCAACTCGTCATGGAAACACTTGGAGCGACATGCACATACTACAGTAACAAGAGGCTACTAGGAACAAGTGCATCGCTTCTAGTAACAAGTGCCTTACTAGTAGTAACAATCGTAGCTATCGTAGTACCAATGCCAGGAGCCCCTAATAGCTTCTTGCTCCTAGTAGCGTGGCACCTGTTACTAGTAGCGTGGCACTTGTTTCTCGGATCAAAAGAGACTTCTCTGAGTGTCCACGCATTTACCTCCAGGAATTTCAGGGCAGCCAGCCTCGCAGCCGTTGTAAACCTGAAGCGCGACTGCAGCGTCAGCTCACAACGAAGGATGCAATGCTTATTGAGGCATCATTGTTCAGGACATTCCCTTTTCTCGGGAATGGGGTTGAACAAAAGAGAAGACAAGGCAAATGGACCAGGAAGAGGTAAGTAAAACACAAGCCAAAACCACTGCTGTTGGCTTACATTGTGTCAGACTGTCAGACTAAGAACCAAAAAAGCTGAGGTGTATCGTGCTGGAGGACGCACCACCTTCCCTCCAATCAAAAGATACTACTCTGACACCAGCGACAGCAATGTCATTCTGATGCTGGACAGTACTGTCAGCATGCGCCAAGGACGAAAAGCCAAAAGGCCGACAAAGGACAAAGGTCAGACGCATCCGCAAAGCACAAAACAAGCCCTGCAAAAATCGATCGCAACAAAACGACAACGCAAACAGTTGGAGGTGTCCATCTGCGTCCAAGCCACATACCCATCAGCATCAAAGAAGTTTGGCTCGCACTCCAGGTCCGTGCCTCGACACAAGCTGCAAGTAGCTGTCGTAGTACCAATGCCAGGAGCCCCATTCGTAGCGTCCTTGCTCCTAGTAGCGTGGCACCTGTTACTAGTAGCGTGGCACTTGTTCCTAGTAGCTTCTTGCTCCTAGTAGTGAGGCCAGGAGCCCCTAGTAGCGTCCTTGCTCCTAGTAGGATTTGCAGCACAGCGAGGAAGCTACAAATGGCATCTGCACGCAGCAAAGCGAGCGTTCCATAAAAATTGTTCGTTACCCCTGCATTACCCGTGCGTTACCTGTGCGCAACAACACGTTTTTTAAATGAAGCAGGCAATTTGAGGTTGCTAAACTGGCAAGACCTTCAGGATGAGCTACTACTTACCTATATATGCAGCCTTAGGACCCGTTTTAGTTCCAGTCTTGGGTTTCACTACGCTTTCAACCAGAACGCTTTCTTGCCTGTGGGATGCTTAGGGTCTTCCAGGTTTGACTGAAGTGACTTTTGCGTGTCTCTGGAGTTCTTTCCAAAGGGCACATCAAGAAGCTATAAATATATATATATATATCAGAAGCTACTAGGAACAAGTGCCACGCTACTAGTAACAGGTGCCACACTACTAGGAGCAAGAAGCTACTAGGGGCTCCTGGCCTTACTAGAAACAAGAAGCTCGACAGGTCATCTCAGCATCCGACAGGTCAACACATCAAGGCAGTCTGTGCAGTTCGCATGTGGCAAACTTGGACAGGAGCCTTCACAGCCATTGAAGGATCGACCTTGCAGACTAGCAAAGGACGCTACGTTCGGGGCTCCTGGCATCGCTACTAGGAGCAATGTTTGCTACTAGGAGCAATGGGCATCGCTACTAGGGGCTCGTGGCCTTGCTACTAGGAACAAGAAGCTATTAGAAACAACTGCATCGCGTCTAGTAACAAGTGCCTTACTGGTAGTAACAAGAAGCTACTAGGAGCAAAGGGCATCGCTACTAGGAGCAAAGGATGCTACTAGGGGCTCCTGGCATCGCTACTAGGAACAAGGACGCTACTAGGAGCGACCCGAATAGGAAAGGATCGACCTTGCAGACTAGCACCATGCGCCCTTTGCTCCGTTCGTAGCGTCCGATCTTGTTCCTAGTAGTAAGGCCAGGAGCGCCCCTAGTAGCGTTGGATCGCTCCTAGTAGCGATGCCCTTTGTTAGTGGTAGCGTTCTTGTTCCTAGTTTGTTTTTTGAAAGAATGACTTGGCAAATGGTTCCTTCAAGAGTTCTACGCTTCATTTCACAAGAGCTCACAAGAGTTTGCGAATGCTTCGCTTGGCCCTGCACCATCCAAATCAAAGAACCCTTTTGAACAGCTGTAAGTCTTACAGCTGTCCCATGTGTTGCATGCCGAACCTCAGTGCCCACATCGCTCTGTTGCTGTCATATTGCTACAATGTCTTCTTCTCATCTGTACCTTCACTCATCTTCACTCATCACCAGTGAAATGCTTTAAAACAAAGCTAGTAGTAACAGGTGCCACGCTAGTAGTAACAGGTGCCTTACTAGTAGTAACAAGAAGCTATTAGAAACAAGTGCCTCTTGTTACTACTAGTAAGGCACCTGTTACTACTAGCGTGGCACTTGTTACTACTAGCGTGCCTTCACTCATCTTCACTCATCACAAGTGAAATGCTTTAAAACACTCTATGACAATCAATAGCGATGTCCTCCACGCAACCTACTAGCGATGGCCTCCATGCAACGTACCAGTGATGGCCGCCATGCAACCTACTAGCAACCATCTCTGACTTCACTCATCTTCAATCATTTGCCCAAGGAACAATACGCATTTGGAAGTGCTTGACAGCCACTTTCACATCCGTTTGACGCATCCCCATCCAGATTGAAGAAACTGGGCCTTCAGACGTCAGCGTCTTCCCAAAGACTCATATCTTTTTCTCACTCTATCATAGTAGGAAGTAAATTACTTTTCTTGTTACTCATAGCTTCTTGCTCCTAGTAGCGATGCCCTTGTTCCTAGTAGCGTTCTTGCTCCTAGTAGTAAGGCCAGGAGCCCCGAACGTAGCGTCCTTGCTCCTGGTAGCGTGGCACTTGTTACTAGTAGCGTTCTTGCTCCTAGTAGCGTGGCACTTGTTACTACTAGTAAGGCACCTGTTACTACTAGCGTGGCACTTGTTCCTGTGCAACGACCGGTCTAGAGCTCTGGATATCAACTTCAACTTCGTCCTGCAGCTGACGGAAGTACACGTAGAGGCGCTGTTGCAGCCAAGGCAATCACCTAACTTCGCCACAAATCGACTAAGTAGACCTAGCGATGGCCTCCAACCTACTCCTTATGGCATTGTGTCCTGCAATTACACTACTCACCGACATCTCTTTCCCGTTCTTGAACATATAGGTCCAGACTTAGAAACCACCACTCCTCGGTGCAGAATATACTAGCCACCTTGATAGCAATACTCCGAATCAATACCTTTGAAATACCCTTACTCTCTGAAGTGCCTTGGGTCCTGAAAATGACTACCAGCTCTCTTAGATTTCCGTCCGCCTCAATTCATGACACTAAAGATACGATGATAGCTCCAAGAAGCCGTTGGGAACTTCCGGGCAATGCACTTCGCAGCCATTCATGGCATCATGATCCAGATTGAACCAGTTTTCATCACAGTGCACCGCGCTGCAGTCTGAAGATCCTCACAACAAGCTCACGAGGAGCAATAGAAAGCAAGTAGTGCTTGAACTAGAATATACCTTCGTTTCTTTTCTAATAGCGGTGGCCTCCAACCTACTAGCCATGGCCTTCCTCCCACTTTGAGGAGCTGATTCTATTGTTTCTAATTGCAAACATTGTTACTACTAGTAAGGCACCTGTTACTAGTAGCGATGCACTTGTTCCTAGTAGCGAACTTGTCGGTCCTGTGCACCGCGCACAAGTTCCATGCGCAACTGCCGGACATGTCACTTCGCAGCCATTCGCCGCCAAGCCATCTGAGTTGGATCGACCTGCCGGGTTTTGGGCACCTAAGGCCACTTGGGTCTTGAAAAGGAAAGAAAGCTAAACAGATAAATATCGGGAAGAAAGCTCTAAGGAAAAGATGTAAAGAAAGAAAGGAGACAAAGTATGTAGAGTACTAGAAGTTCTTTCTAGAAAGGAGTGAAAGCAAAGCAACAGATTTGTTCATCCACACCGGACTTTGAGACAACGGTTTGATTGTCAAAGGCCGTGCCCTGAAGCGCTCTGATTGTCTTCCTCTCTTTTTCCTGTTCCTAGAAGCAAGAATGCTCCTGGTAGCGATGCCAGGAGCCCCTAGTAGCGTCCTTTGCTCCTAGAAATTAGCGATGCCAGGAGCCCCTGTAGCTTCTTCTTCCTAGTAGCTTCTTTTTGGATGTTTCTTTTTAGGTGTTGCTGTTGTCAACACCACTCCGCCTAAGTCGCACTGCACCGCCGTGCATGTGGAGGAGTCGCCGCAGGCCGTGCAGGAGCCTCCCTCCACAGTAGGGCAAAGGACCTACACAAGCGATGCACAGCTCCAGAACTTCTTGATCCTAAGAGCGGTGGCCTCCAACCGAGAAGCAATGGCCTCCAACCTAATAGCAATGGCCTCCTCTCCAGAACTTCTAAATAAGAACGTTCAAAGGAGTCAGAAATAACAGTCGAGGATTTACAGAAAACAAGCTGGGCTGCAAGTTGCCTCGCAGCCAGTATCGATTTTCCTGTCTGCATCATAGTAGTTCCTGTGGCACTTCATGCGATCACAGGTGTTGGCCTCACCGAAGACAACAATTCAATAAAGATGAAGAGAATGTCCAACAAAGGTTCAATGCGAAGCCCACAAATGGATACATGATCACGTTGCTAGTGTCTTGAATTTTTCAAGCACGACAGTTAAACTGTTAAACGTCTGAATGGCAAAAGCACGTCTAAAAGGCGTCTTCAATTTTGT